CGAACCTGAATGGCTGAGTTCTGGCCGCAGCAGCCCCGCATAGCGCCACCTCGTCAAGCCTTCCGTGCCTCGTCACCCCTCCAGAGCAACCAACGGCTGACTGTCGATTGTCGTGGCGAACTCTCGTCCTTTCTATGATGAGCCTGCAGGACCTCTTCAAGGAGCAGCGTCAGGCAAGGCCCTCACGGTGTCTCCCTCACTCTCGTCCGTGCGAACCGCTTGCACGTTAAAGGGGGGTGCCTGAGCATCGCGACTCAGGGCTCCTACTGGCTCTCCACCCCTCACCCTCTGGCCTTGTCCACGACATCGCGACCTGGCATACCAGCGACGGCTGAGACTCGCTCGAGGGCCAGGACCCGAGGACGTAGAGCAGAAGGGGGAGCAAAGGCGAGAGGGGAGGGACACGCGAGGACCTCGCCAAGCAACCTCTCGCCCGCCGATGCATGGACCCGACGACACACCAGGAGGCGGTTCCTGATTTTCGAGATAAGTCACCACCCGGAAGCACCAGCTACCACGGCACCATCCCCGCACCCGATGCAATCCCGTGTTAGCGATGTCACTCTCCTTTCTCACCGAGCAGTGGCTGCTTGAGCGCTAAGGGGGACCTCCTGAGCATCGCGACTCAGGGGATCTTACCGGACCCCGGGCCGCTCACCTCCTGGCCTTGACCACGGCATCGCGACCTGGCTTGCCAGCGACGGCTGAAGCCGCCTTGGGACTGGGACCTGTCGGCGCAGAGCATCAAACCCTCGCGAGGTTCGAAAGGGAGAACTGAGCTAAAACAAAATGAGCAACTCGCACTATTCTATGGCAAGGATTATATTAACAAACATGATCACATGCACCTTACAAGCCCCCACGGGATGCGTTTTTTGATTCCTCGCAGGGAACAGATCCTAAAGAATGCTAACTACACGCGCCTCTGCAGAAGACGCCATCATCAACAGTCGCCCGTCGGCCACCGGCGCCAACCCCATCCAGATCAGAGGCAGCGACGGCTTGACGAGCCCGCCGTGCTCCGGGAGCGACGCAGGCTCGGGGGCTCGTAGCTGTCGTTGCTCGTCTCCGGAGTCGCGAAGAGCTCATCGGAGTCGCTGGATCCTTCAGCGCCTTCACCGCCTGAGGAGCTGCCAAGGGAGCGGTTAGCTGGCCTCGGCCTCGCCGTAGCAGGGTCCCAACCACCTCTCCCGGGGTAGCACTCCAGCCGGCGACCCTCCGCATCGAAGACCTTGAAGAACATCACCGAAGCACCGTCGTACTCCAGGTTGATCACGAGGGCGCCCCTTGTCCTGCAAACCTGGGCGATCTCGCCCCAGCCTCGAGTCATGAAGATCTCGCCCGGGGCAACGACCACGACCTCATCCCCGGTCACGAGAGTGCTGCAGCTGGCGTGCTGTAGCCAGAGCTCCAGGAGTTCCCCCTCCGGAATGATGGAGGCGAAGAAGGGAGGAAGGTGAATCCAAGACCGAGGAGGCATGGCGGCGTGGAGCACAAACTCTCGAGAGGAGCCCTTAGAGTGGACTCCAGGGGGAAAGACGCACACCTTCGTGACCCGCCGGCGCCGGCGGTGGCGCCGCCCGTGGCGCTCGGCATCAACCCCTTCAGAGCCCTCGATGTGGGCGTACAAGGGAAGCGGAAACCCTGGTGGTGGCCGCTCACACCAGGGCCTCGACACTTCCTGATGAGCGCCCTCACCCCGATGGCAGAGGGCTAGCCGTTTCTTCGGCGGGAGCGGGTCAGGACCCTCTCGGGGAGCCTTTCCCTTCTATGCCGCGGAGAACCGGCGGATCGGAGCCATTGCAGCTAAACGGAGCAAGGACCGGGAAGAAGGAGAAGCAAGAAGAGATGGACTGGAAGGGCACGCGCCATTCCGTACTTAAAGCTAGGGGAGGCCAACCACCGATCTCCACGATCGCAGGTAATCATGACCCGTTTTGCATGCAGGGACTGGTCAATTCGTGCAGTCGCTGAGGCATCATGGGGAAGCGGAGATGCCCACGTCCCATCAACCGCCACGCGGCGCCCAAGGCCGTAGGCTGATAGGGCCCGCGGCGTTTCGCACTTGCCCTTTTGCCTCCCTGCTCGGCCAAGTCCGGGTGCGCCTTGGGCCCGGGGGCTACTGTCGGCGTTCTGGAAACGGGGGTCCCCAGACTTGCCTGCCTGCGGCCTACGGCGTGGCTCAAAGGGGGGCCCAGCACGTCCCATCTTCATCAATACGAGCTCAAGACCCTCGCGAGGGGCCAAGCCTCGCGGGCGGACGACAAGGAGCTTCCTCAGGCGCGGCCTCATCAGGCTGGCTCGCGAGGAGGCCGAGAGATCAAGGCGGGGTACCTCACGAGGTGCCCATGACGCAAGCCATGACGACCAAGGGCGCCAGGCGGGCGCCAGCCCGCGCAGTGTCCTCCTTTCCTCTTTGGTGCAAAGGGAGCAAGCGCAAGCGAGATCATCAAGCAAAGGCATCCATTTCGGTGCAACGAGACCAAGACCAGCCCAACGGTAGGAAGGAAGTCATCGTGGAGCCCAAGCCGGCGTCACCACCAGAGCCTTTGGCAGGCGAGGACCAACTTTAGTTAGGATAAGTGTACCATATGTTCCCCTTCAAAATGGTCAATTGTTGGCGCCCTTCCCGCTCAATATTTGGGAAGAGGCCCAGGGCCTTTGCCTATAAATAGGACTAGCCACCCTCAGGGTAGGAGGGAGGATAAAATCATCTTCGACCTCAAAGAAAAACGGGATCCTCACCAGGAAACCAATAGAGAGAGCGACTGAACTCCCCCTAGTAGTTCATTGCACCAGCCAAGAACAGATCCTCGCAAGGCTGTTCTTCTTTTTATTGTTCATCATCAGCCCAAGAGGCAATCCACCACACCACACGCTGGAGTAAGGTATTACACCGCAATGGTGGCCTGAACCACTATAAACTCTGTGTCTCTTGTGCTGTTCTTTTCATAGCTTAGATCCTAGCGTGGCGGCAGGGCGCAGGTAGGTAGAGGGCAAGACCTCCGCACGCACCCCAGTGTTCGAACCTCAAGGGTCTGCCGGAACCCGTAATCCGACATTTGGCGCGCTAGGTAGGGGTGCGCCGGAATTCGTCTTCCACCGCCATGTTCTCCTCCGACCACCGCATCCATGTCTGACACTCGTCGGGCCCGCACCGAGCGCTGAGCCGCTCTCGCCTCCCGCGTCGCCCAGACGGCTCCCGTCGGCGGGCGCCCTCGTCATTCCCTGTCGCCTGCCATCAACCCTGCCACCGGCCCGGCGGGGAACGAGCAGCAAGCATCATCCCATCATCCCTCCGTGAGGCAAGATGGCCGCACTGCTACCCCCTCGTTCACCCCAGCGGGTTCTTCGTCTCGCGCATTCCGCGCACCCATGGAGGCTTGAACCGCGCTCATCGCAGTGAATGAGCTCCTGAGCTACCGTCCCGTCGATGACGTCTACGAAGAATGGCTTGACCGCGTTGCCGAGCTTGTCCGTTCCGCAGGGGGCTCTCCTGCGCTGTCCGTCCTGCTGCACTGCACCCCGCCCTGCGCGGGCGATGAAGCTCTGGGGGCGCCTCAGCCGCCTCCTCCTCAAGAAGGTGCACTGGTGTCGGTGTAAAAACCGGCGGATCTCTGGTAGGGGGTCCCAAACTGTGCGTCTAGGCGGATGGTAACATGAGACAAGGGACACGATGTTTTTACCCAGTTTCGGGCCCTCTCGATGGAGGTAAAACCCTACTCCTGCTTGATTGATATTGATGATATGGGTAGTACAAGAGTGGATCTACCACGAGATCAAGGAGGCTAAACCCTAGAAGCTAGCCTATGGTATGATTGTTGTTCGTCCTATGGACTAAAACCCTCCGGTTTATATAGACACGGAGAGGGCTAAGGTTACACAGAGTTGGTTACAATGGTAGGAGATCTACACATCTGTATTGCCAAGCTTGCCTTCCACGCCAAGGAAAGTCCCATCCGGACACGGGACGAAGTCTTCAATCTTGTATCTTCATAGTCTTGGAATCCGGCCGATGATGATAGTCCGCCTATTCGGACACCCCATAGTCCAGGACTCCCTCAGTAGCCCCCGAACCAGGCTTCAATGATGACGATTCCGGCGCGTACGTTGTCTTCGGCGTTGCAAGGCGGGTTCTCCTCCAAATTCGCGTGTTTGCCGAATAGTGTCCGGCTTCCTTATAAATGTTGCGCTCCTTGGTTTCCACGCCCAATAATGGCCCTCTTCCACGTGTAGTACGAATGCGAATGGCCAGGGTATTTTTACATTTTTACCCCCTAGCTGCGCGAATAAGCTGCCTATAAGAGAGGCAAGAATTCAGATCCAAATCACACCATCCTCCTTCCGCGAGTACTCATCGGAGCGCTTCTGACCAAAATCCATTCCATCATGTACCGTCGACGCGGCTCCTCCTCTCGCGCTCCCAGCCCTCAGCCAGGAGATTGGAGGAGATGTTCAGTCCCGCACAGCGAGCTGGTGACGCTCCAAGCGGAGGGATACCTTCCTCCGGCCTTTATGGTCCCGGTTCGAGCCGGGCTGACCACCTACAAAGGTGGAAAGCAGGCGGAGAACACCCCCAGTCCCTCTAAAGGAGAGCGGGTGTGCTTCGTCCCTTATTTAATAAGGGGGCTCGGATTTCCCATACATCCGTTTTTCCGAGGGCTCCTGGAGTTCTACGGACTCCAGCTTCATCACCTTACGCCCGCCTCCATCCTGCACATTGCGGGTTTCGTAGCTCTTTGCGAGCTGTTTCTGGGCATCGAGGCCCATTTTGCGCTGTGGAAGAGATTGTTTTGCCTCGTCCCCCATTCTCACGAGGGGTCGATATATCAAGTGGGCGGAGCCGAAATATGGCGCATCGTCGGGACCGGATATCTATCCGGAACCCGAAATCTATTTCTGATTCGGCCGGCGCCCGCCATCGTCAGCTCATGGTGGCGGCGGCGCCCGGCGACCATCTGGTTCTGATTCGGCCGCGTCCGGCTCCTATTCAATGTCAGGTAGATCTGATTCGATCGCGTCCGACACGGAATCCGGGTCAGGTACGCAATCTTGCCTCCGAATTCGACTACAATTGGGCTCAAGCCCCAAGCACAACAAAAGATCCAGTCTTTAGGCCTCTATATATACTGCTTGCAGACAGAGGGAGCAGCAGATCGAAAAAAACCAGGATGTCTAAGCGGCTCCAGGGAGAGGAGATACAGGCAAACTGCGCCCGCAAAAGGTCACGACCTTCTGATCAGAAGCACCTCTATCTGGTGCTGGATGACTGGAAAGATGGGTTCAGCATTCACAAGATTGACGCCGACGACGATGACGCGGACCTTGGCCAGCCACCGGTCCTCCGGTTGGTGTCGCCGGCGCCTGGCTTTCCAATGCGCTTTGCGGTCGTGGGCAGCAACATCGTCATCGTCACCAACCCACGCTGTGGTCAGGCTCCCACACTTTTCTATGATACGAAAAGAACAGGACTCGCCGTCGGCCCTCCACTCCCCGGTCCACTGGTAGGTGACTTCCACACCTCCGTGGCCACCGCGGACATGCTGTATGCGCTGAGTTTTCACCATAGGAATCAGCAGCACTCCTTTGAGGTGATGTCTTGGGAAGAATCTCCAAATCCTTGTACCATGAGCTGGTCATGGAGAAGCGTGCCCTCACCACCCCCGTTCGAGGAGGATGAATGGATCGCCTCCTACGCCGTGCACCCCGATGGACGCACCATCTTCATGTGCGGGGTCAACAAGTACAATCTCAAACGCCGGACCTTCTCTTTCGACACCAGGTACTGCGAGTGGAGGTTTCATGGGGAATGGGCCTTGCCTTTCCAAGGCCAGGGCTACTATGACAGCACGCTGGACGGATGGGTCGGCCTTCACGAGGATGGCTACATCTGCGCCTGCCAAGTCGCCCCCCGCAGCCGCCGCGCAAGTACCATACAGCCCGAGTGGAAGATTGTCAAGGGGAAGTTGTTCCACAAGGTCCCGGAGAGGAAACGAGCGGCCCCATATGCCACTCTAACATACATGGGCAACGCCAGATTTTGCCTTGTGGAGTGTGTGGTGCGCGAGGAAGTGGAGTACGAGGATGCCTTGGATGATTGTGATGGTTGCATGCTCCTTATGACCAGGTTTGGCCTCAAGTACTCTCATAATGGAGAGTTGCAAACCATCAATCGCACCACCGACTCCCATGTGTTGTCCAAGCATGTCACCGGGTTTTCACCTGTAGCGTTCTGGATGTAGGAACACTAGTTGGCTGGCTGGCTTAGCTGTACGCAATGGATACTATGTCTGTTTCGAGTTTCTGGATGTATATTATGATTTGCATCAATGAAAAATTACTTCGTGGCGATCTTGTCGAACAAGTTTATCTTTATTTTTACATGTCTGTCTGTCCAGAAAACTCCGAGATATCAATAGGTTTCAGGAACTAAAACACATGCAAATCATACTGAATGTGGTGTGGATGGCAGAATTCAAATATATTTTCATTTGCAGCATATAAACAGCAAAAGTATTTCGTCGCTACAGAAAAGAAATGATAAGTTTACAAACTAACTTGGCCGGTAATTGTGTCGGTCTCTTCAGCTTGATACTTTGTTTCTCTCTAGAACAGATATAGTCTGATCATCGCTTTCTCAAGTAAAAGGTACACTACGGATGGATATGCAAGTTTCAGAACATATCTGAAGATAATATTGCAGCTAGAGGTTCAATGCCGCCACCAACGAAGAATTTTGGTCTTTAATTAATCTCCTGCTCCAGGAAACCAGGTATGCCTTGCTTGGCGATTTAATTTGCCTGTGCGGCCTGATTCATAATTAGGTATATCCCTGCTGATTTTGTGTTCAGTTCAATTGCAGAAAAACAGGAAAGTCTCAAGCATCACTTATTTTGGAACATAGGGGCTATATCGCACTTCATCTATCTCATATATTGCGGCTGACCTAGTTGTTTATACATCCTTCATGTTGAATCTTTGAGACCATAAGTTGGTTGTGTTGGCCTCAAATGGAGCAGAAAAAGGCAGATGCAGAAAAAGGCTAATGAACCGTCTCCCTAACATTCATTCTACTTTAAAAAATTGTACTGTGAGAAATCCTGGATAATTGATTCAGACATCAACCACCAGACCTTAATACCATCATTAAATTTGGCCTGACATTTCCAGGCACATACCGTATCGAAGCACTATATATACAACCACACTACTATGTATGTTGTTGAATATTCACTTGAAATGATAGAGAAGAAACGTGTGTTAGGTGGTGTGTACAAAGATAGATGTATGGATGTGTAGGCTGTCATTTTATTTCTTGGAATTACAGGCATCGGGAAAGATCTAGCCAGTGTCGTAGCATATCACTGTAGTCGCTTGCCTGGATTCATATTCACATTTTTTTTAGAAAAGGAGGATGACCTCCGGCCTTTGCATCTGGGCGATGCATACGGCCACTTTATTAATTATTCTCACAAGACCTTATGTAAGTCATACAACAGCAAGACTGAAGCCACCGTCTAAGCAGCAAATGTCGCTACACCTATCCAATCGATGAAGGGGTGCTGATAGTCTGGGCCTAATACCAAATAGACATCACAGCCAAACCTAAACATTTAAGACCTGAGGTCCGAACCAGGACGCCTGCCGGGTATGGGGCACCTACCAGTCCGGTGCACTCCTCAACCAAGACGCCTGCCGGGTATGAGGCCACTGCAGCCACCTGCCACCAATCCATCTTCAAAGTTGTACTCTTGCATCTACCTTACACGGTCTAGCTACCGTCAACGCCACCACGACGTCAGACAGCTTCCTCCTCCTGCGCGAGTCCATCTCCGCGCATCGGACGCCAAGACTCGACTGCGCCATGCCGCCGAGACCAACCGTCGATGATACTGTTGATGCCACACTGCTCCACCCACATGCCATCTCGCGTCGACTCCATACTACCAGCAACTCCACCACCCTGAGCAGTCCTCGGCCGACGCCTTCAGGAAGGAACACGACACCAAAGTGCCATCGTCGCCCAAACAGAGGAACAGAGGCTTTCGCCTGCGCTCATGGCAGAGGTGGGGGTCGTATGATCCACACCGAAGCCTCCAGGAAGGTAATCGGCGCCGAGGGCGTCGACTTTGGTGCGGCCGCCACGCCTGCCTGGAGTTTCCCTCGGATCCATGCCCACCCGCCAGATCCGTCCAGGCAGTATTGGCGTCGACCGTAGTCTCTACCGTAGCTAGCATGGACCGGAGTAGATCGAGTCGGAGACGACGCCTCCCATGAAACCCCGGGCGGCCATCGAGGAGCCGCTGTAGCGCCGCCGCGTCCACGCCGCCCACGCAGCTGTGGAAGGCCCCCCATCTGCACCCGCGAGTGCCGCCCGCCAGGCAGGCCGCACCCATGCCACCGATCGAGGCTGCCGCCCTGAGATCCCCGCGTCGCCCGAGGCGCCGGCGGTCAGATCTAAAGCAGATCGACCACGGACACCATAGGCGCGCCCCGAACGCCCCCCCACGCGACCACCGGGGGAAGCAGCTCCTGCCGTCGCCCCCTGAGCCCTCGCCGGCGCGCCCCGTCGCTAACGCGCCGCCTACTACCGCCGAACGCCACCCGCGCCAGGTCCGGCCGCTGCGGGGAGGAGAGATCCCGCCACCGCCGACGCCAACTGGGCTTTGCCCGGCGGCGGCAGGCAGGAGAGGTGGGAGAGAGGCCGAGGGCTTGGCGGCGCTAGGGTTCCCCCCTGGTCGCCGCGCGGGGGGCGACCCAGGGGAGGGGAGAAGAGTTTCCAACCATCTCTGAGATTCATATTCACATATGTATGATTGAGTTTATTGTCGTACAGGATTCCAATATACGTTCATTAAATTGTGCAAGGCTACCGCACCACATGCACAAAATGGAATTTGTCCGCGAGCTTAGATAGCTCTAGACAACTGTGCAATAGCAAAGACTATTCTCTGTAAGATTTGGTGTTGGGACTTAAACTTATGATGTGTTTGGTTCAAGGTTGTTCTGAGTTCCTTGTAGCTCAAAATAACAAACGGATGTATTCGCCCCATCTTTGTTTTCCTTTTTCAATTTGAAGAGATGGAATATTTGTGTCCCTTGCAAATACTAACGCTTCTCACCCTTAATTACTAGGCGGTTCACTGTATGTATGGTTGATGCTGATTGTATTCTGCTCAGGGTTTGATACTGGCAGATTCTGACTATTCCATGTAATAGTTGGTAATAGGAATGCTTAGTTCTATAGCAGCGGTGACCCAATTGCAATGGGCAATTGAGGGGAAGATCCTACTGTTTGGACCAGTCCCACATTGAAGCCTTCCAGCTAGGATGATCATCTCCTACCCTTGGAGCTAGGCTTTTCGACCAATTTACATGTTTAACTCCTGCCGCTCTTGCTGCGATAACAAAACGGCACCTTTTAGGACTCTGATGGTTGGTGCTTGAAAACTGAACACTAGCAGTTAGGACTCAATTTCCAACCTGGTGGGTAGTAGTCAAATGCCACTTTTAGCTGCTCGCTCACTATTTATAGGATCTTAAATTCTTAATTGTTGGTTTCACAACTGAATATAATATTCCATACCATAACTGAGGAGCAGACTTTTAGAGTTGAGATTTCTACAGTAATGCTCTAATGGTCAATTATTGCTAATATTTTATTTAGTATACCCGACTTACTGCTGCCTGAAAACTGAATGTTAGGCCACCTTTAGCTGCATTTACGATTGATGATTAGTTGCTAACAAACTATAATTATGCTCTGATCATCCTCACATTTTTCATAACTTGCACTCCCTTTGTAAACTAATATAAGAGCGTTTAGATGACTACTTTAATACTCTAAATGCTCTAAATTAGTTTACGGAGGGAGTACTAGTTATTTGAGTTAACTAGATAAATCCCCTGCGCGTTGCTGCGGGAGTTTATAGAGATAAAAATTAGAGAAAGAGTGAGGAAGCTATGCGGAGCAAAATATACATGATCGGCATAAAGGTGCCAATTTAAATGGGAATGAGAAAATACACTTTAATGTGGAGAATGAGGAAGCCTATGGAGAGCAAAAGTGAAATGGCCATCATAAAGATGCCAATTTGAATGGGAATGAGAAAAGACACTTCAATGTTGTTTCTGTATAATAAAAATTCGCCCCCACGCACATTTTTTTTCGAAAAGGGGGAATACCCCGGCCTCTGCATCTGGACGATGCATACGGCCACTTTATTGATTATTAACACAAGACCTTACAAAGTCGTACAACAGTAAGATCAAAGCCACCATCTTCGCAACCTCTGTCGCTACTCCTATCTAACTGATGAAGGGGCGCTGATGGTCTGGGCCTAATACCAAACAGACCTCGCAGCCAAACCTAACATCTTAGACCTAAGGTCCCAACCAGGACTCCTTCCGGGTATGGGCACCCACCAGTCCGGCGTGCTCGTCAACCAGGCCCCCTGCCGGGTATGAGGCCGCCACATCCACGTACCATCAATTCATCTTCAGAGCTGAACTGTTGCATGAACCGTGCCAGGCCTCACTGCCATCGACGCCACCACGACGCCAGACAGCGCCACCATCCTGCACTCGTCCATCATCACACGCCCATCGGCGAGACCCCCGCTGCTCCATGCTGCTGAGACCCGCCGTTGTCAACGTGCCAGATGCCACGCCGCTCCTCCTCTTGTCCCCTCCAGCCAACACTTGCTCCAAAATGATGCCCCCAGGAGGGAGAACGACATCGAAACGTCGCCATCGTCCGATCCGGTAGATCCAGATCAAGGGTTTCCCCCGGAGCCTTTCGATCAGGTTGACGTGACCTGCAACGACGATGCCTCGAGAAGGGAACGGCGTCCGAGACGCCGCCATCGTCCGCCATGACCGCAGTCAGACGCGATTTTCACCGGAGGCCACGGCGTCCCGATCTCGCGGTTGGCTGGAACGGAGCCCTCCGCCGAACCGGTGACGTTGCCGCCGATCCGATCCCACCGCCGTGCGACGCCCCGATGGAGAACCCGATCTAGATCGAAGACGACCTCGACCGAAACCCTGCCACCAGCACCGCCACACCGCGCCACCTCCTCCTAGCCCAGTCGCTGCCGGATCCAGCCGTCCCCGCCTCCGGGAGACCAGCCGGACGAGGCGCCCCTTGTCCCCAATCTGACGGCCCGCGCCGCCGCCACGAGGGCCAGAGGAAGGAGGGAATGCCCCGCCGCCGCCCGCGCCGCGCGGGCTTCGCCCGGCG